ATAATGAATTATCAAGTATCAGGTGGTCTGGAAATTCGAAGACGTCAAATCAAGTTGCAAACTCAATGAACCATTGGTAATCCTAGAAAAATTTTATTATTGATGAGGCACAACTAAGGCTGGGCACCGGAACGGGTTGTACCGGTACCGTTCTGATACCATTCCGGTCCATTTCGGTTCGGTAGTATTCGGGACGGGATGGGATACATTGAACCGGTACACGAAACGGAACGGTATCATGATTTGGTACCGATATACAGGTACCAGTTCATCGCGGTTCATTCCGGTTCCGTTCCGGTCCGGTCCCGGTAATCATTTTATTAATAAAATAATATTTTGTCATTATTTACTTTTATTAGCATTTCTTTTTGTTTATTTAATTTTTTAAAATTACAAACTTAAGTTATTTAACTTACAAGTTATAAGTATAACTTATAAACTTCAAAAGATTCAAATCTTTAAAACTTATAACATAACTACATAAGCTCAAATACTTTAAAAAAAAAACTTTATTAAACTTAACTTACAAACTTATATACGTAAAAATTAAAAAAATAATACTTTAAAATAAAACTTAAGTAAAATTATTATAAATTTTAAAACTTAAATACTATAAACTAATATAACTTAGAAGATAAAAAAACATTCGTATTTTCGTAATTCAAAATAACTCAAAAAAAATAATTATTTTTTGAAAAAGCTATATGTGCCGTCCCGTTTATCCCATCCCATTCCATTCCGGTCCGTCCCGGTTCTATCCCGGTATATAGTGGGACGGGATGGAACTGAGCCTCCATCCCGATAGTTCCGATCCGGTTCATCCCAGTACCGGTCAACAACCCGGTCAAACCGTCTCATTCCGGTCCGGTGCCCAGCCTTAGGCACAACTAGTACTAGTTGTATGAGGGAATTATTTTATTCATTTATATTCTGACTCATAGGACCCACATTATATTTTTCTTCTTTGCCTTTTATTTCTCTTTCCTACTCTTCTCTTTCCTCTTTTTTCTCATTTTATGTTTTTTCTAAATCTTTTTTAAACCAATATAATTACTCACTTAGTTTGTATATATGAAAATAATTTATTTTTTAAAAATCATTATTTTTTTCTAAATAATTAAAGGTTAAGAGTATAAAAAAGTTCAAGTTAGTTCTTTGAATTGTCACTTATGTCATAAAAAATGACCACTAAAATTATTTTTTTCTTTCATTTTTCATTTATCATACATTAAAAAATTTATCTTCATATTTCATATTTTTTTTAACTTCTACTTTTAGGACTCATTCAAACATAAGAATTATTTCTTTAAAAAAAAAATATTTTTTCATTTAATTTGAAAATTGATATTTGATAATGAAAATTTGAATACAACTTTTTCAATTCGAACATATATTTTAAATCTGAAAAACATGTTAGTATAATCTGATTTTTCAACTCACTTTTCATTTTTGAAATTGTATTTAAGTACATTCAAACATGAATATCATTTCAAATATTTTGTTTTACAAAAATAAAACATGACTCTATGTTCAACTATAATACCGTTTATTTCAAATACAGTAAAAAATATATGTTTGAATTATAGAGCCAAATGCCAAATAATAATAACCATAACCATGTTTTCTATGCTCATAACCCCTTATATTTAATGTGTAATTTTAATAACAACTGTTTCATTATTTTTTTTTATAAGTTTTATATATAGCTTTAATTGTATTTGTGTTAAAATAAATTATTTTTTCATATACACTTGTAATTAAATTAATTTCAAAATAGATTTAGGAAAAAAAAAACAGAAAATAAGAAAAAAAAAGAAGAGGAAAGAGAAGGGCATGAAAGAGAAATCAAAGGCAAAGAAGAAAAAAATAAAACATGGGTTCCTAGGTTACAACATAAACTAATAAAATAATTCCCTCATACAACTAGTACTAGTTGTGCCTCATGCATAATAAAAAATTTCGCATACGTACATCAAACAATAACTTTTTATTTTATTTTGTCTTGTTCTTTCTGTTTGGTGTTTGTATAATTGTATCTAGAGTTCTGATTTTGTTGCAGTGAAAATATGGTTGTAACAACTCCAATTTCACAATAAAACATTCAAATATTATAATCGCTAAACTCAAAGTTACAATGGAAAATGGAACTAATAAGGAATCGCAAAACAATGATGAACTAGTAAAACAAAGAAACTATTGAAGAAGATAACTAGAAGGAAGATGAGAAGCTTAGACTCAAAGAAAGGGGATGAGAGGACTAGCCATTTTTCTCAACAATTTGCATAAACCGTTCATTCTCATCATTACCCTTTTTACCTAGTTGTTAATTGGGCCTAGTTCCTAAATCAACCTTGGTGAAGCCTTCCAATTTTGTTGCTTCTTTTCAGCCCAATAACTAGTTGTGTGGCATCTGTGTAGTTATTGACCTTGGGCCGAGGCTGGTTCATAACAATACTCCCGTCCTCAATAACAACCTTGTCCTCAAGGTTCGAATCAAGAACAATCTCGTGTCCTCCATAGTAACGCCTATCGAGATGGCCTCCTCTGTAAGGGATGGTAAATAGTGACATCAGATTCTCTGAAGGGTTATGCTCAAGAGCCTTCCATTGCCTAGCTTTCTGAAGCTTAAAAATATAAGCATAATCTGGATCAATATGTCCAAATAACGCCTTCCACTGCTTTTTCCATATATGTTGCACTAAACTAACATGATTGAATACTAAGAGAAACTCCAATGAACTATTAAAATGTTCTGATGCATCAATGCCTACATGGTTTTTCCCAAGACAGTAAACTTGTTCACTCCACAATGTAACTACTAAAAAGTAAGGAACGGAACTACTATTTGGAAACATACTCTCGTTGGCACCATAAGATAGAGGAATATCATGTATACCAGGATCAAATGGATGATTTGCAAAGGTGAGAGAAATAACCAAACCTAGTGAGGAATAAGAATAAGGTTGAAGAGTTATGCTCGAGTCAGAATCGTTGTTTGGCGAAACACTGTATAGAGCCTTCGTGAAAATATTGCACACAAAATAAGTTGGAGAACTCAAAGCCATCCATTTGTTCTGCCTTCGTGCAGCCCTCAATTGGTTCCCTACTAACCGCTCCAAAATCTTGTACCAAAACTTTGGTGACAGAATAAATTCAGAGATTTCCACCTTGTCACTAGAACCTTTTACAATCATGAACACGAAACTAAAACCAGATTTCCAATTAGAAAAAGTTGGTTCAATTTCAATTAGAGATTTAGCAGGTTCCACAGTACGAAGAATGTAGAGAACTGACCCAAATAACTGAAATGTGTCCATCATGAAAAAGAGCGTGAATACAGATGTTGTAGGGTGCAATCGATGAACTTGTAGGCATCCACCAAAGGTTACAATGAGCAGATTCACACCGGGATCATAGGGGAATGGATTTAAGGCACATTGATCACTGGTCGTGGAATCAAAATGACATACACATATTTTAATGATCTCCTTGAAATAATCCACAGCCATGAAATAATAAGAGTCTGCAAACCCATGTATTGTGGTACGCATAATAGAACCGGGATCGAATGGAAATTAATACGGGGAGAATGGAAGTTTAGTGGGATCGATTTCATTTAAGTGAGCAATTATACCATTGCTGGAACTACAAGCTGAGAGCATACAAGAGAGTGCAAACAACATTTCGTCAAACATGACAAGGTTACTGGAATCATACCTAACTGTGAAAATTGTGTGAAACCTTTCATCGAACACCTTGGTTTCAGGTTTTACGACATCGTTCTCCAGTGAATTGGCAACTTTCATGTCAACATCCCTAAAAGGTATTTCAGCGAACACCTTGTAGGCGGATATTCCTGAGATCTCTAATTTTCCACCACTCAGCCAGAGTATTCCAGCGTTCAAACCAAATGGGAAGTCGTGGACAACACATTCCTGAAGCGAGGTTTGAATGCAATCATCAACAGTCTCTGAATCAGAGGCCACTATATTATCGAAGACAAGGGTGGATTCATCAAAAGACAAGGCATGATCCCCCTTATCGTCGTCAGATGAGTCCACATCTAGAGGCACTGGATCCGCAACGACTGACTGGGAGTAAGAAGACAGTGTGCCTTGGACATTGTCGAGTTTGCAGAGTCTATAAGAGAAGTTCTCGTCCAACTTCCGCATCATATCAAGGACGTTGACATTGTCACTGATCATGTTAGAGTCATTACAAAAATGCAATGCCAATTTCTCGGTGAAGTGTTTCCAGTCAAAAAATTGTTTGTTGCGATACAACCATTGGAACCAATCATAAGCAGCACCATCGAGATAAAAAGGGGCAAGAGGTAGCCATTCCTTTTCCGAGAATCCAAGATATGTGAAATATTGCTCCGTCCTAAAAATCCACCCAGTTGGATTGCCGCCGCTAAATTTATTGAGTACCATCAATGCCATTGGAGTACTCTCAATGAAAGCACCAATGTAACAACTCCAATTTCACAATAGAACATTCAAATATTATAATCGCTAAGCTCAAAGTTACAGTGGAAAATGGAACTAACAAGGAATCGCAAAACAATAATGAAGTAGTAAAACAAAGAAACTATTGAAGAAGATAACTAGAAGGAAGATGAGAAGCTTAGACTCAAAGAAAGGAAATGAGGACTAGACATTTTTCTCAACAATTTGCATAAACCGTTCTTTCTCATTGTCACCCTTTTTACCTAGTTGTTAATTGGGCCTGGGTTCCAAATCAACCTTGGTGAAGGCCTTCCAATTTTGTTGCTTCTTTTCGGCCCAATAACTAGTTGTGTGGCATCTGTGTAGTTATTGACCTTGGGCCGAGGCTGGTTCATAACAATGGCATTCTCTATATATGAATGAATGAAAGGGTAAAGTACATTGAAGAGATCCATCTAGATTGAACACTCACAATTATGGGTGCTAGAGTTCATAACAATCTGAGCTATGCATCTATAAGTAAAATCAAGCCTTCAAAGAAAGAGATTGAAATTTCTCAATTTGAGAGGATAGCATTCGAGAGAGTAACATTGATGTGCACTTTCACAATAAAGACAAATCACTTGCTATTTCAAATTGTCATCGATCAATTAGCTATCTTCACAATAAAAAGAACAATTACTCTGCTAACGGACTGCATGACAATGGATTGATGTACTTCCGCAAGAAATTAAGAGAAAGAAGTTAAACTTGGCAGTTTAATTTAGGTAATATATCATCAATTAGCCATCTTGCTATCCAACGGTATGCATTTTGTGTCAAATGAACTCCATCCCAACTGATGTGAGTACTCGGATCAACACACACAGGAACTCTTGGAGCACCACATCTTCTATGTACATCATAATTATATTCTCCTCCTATTCCACAACATGCTTTTTGCAAGGAGTTGTTGTCGAATCCTGAAAATGTAGTACAAGGAAGTTGGTAAATGCATATGGTTTTCTTCCCCTTTTCACTTATGTATGTAGTAATTCAACCTTATAATTAGGAAAAGGAAATGATATACTATCTTTTAAGCACTTACCAAGACTGCCGGCATTTTGTAGAAGCCACAGAAAGGCGTTGTAGTAGTCACCATAAATCAGTGTAATGTTTGGGTAATCTTTCTTCAACTCATCAATGGCTTGTTGCAAATTACGATTGAAGAATATTGCAAAGTTATTTAAGTCTTTCAAGCAATGGTACTCATCATAGGCAGTTGAGATGTTGGTCATGAATTTTGTTAGGAAAATTGGGTGACAACCTATTGGGAAGTTGCCTGGAACTATAATTTGAGTAGCCCCAAAACCGATGACCCTCTGAAAAAAGTAATTGATCACTAGAAAACAAATTTTAATCAAATAAAAGAAGTAATCAAGAAGGAAAAGGTAAATAGAAGCGTAAAATCAATCCCCCACCTCAAAATTGAGAAGTGTAATTCACTATTATACTGGCTTTCTTAATGATGGAACTCTAAAGAAGACGATCTTTAAATTGCTTATATACTCAACGAAGATAACTAGTACTATTTCTAGCAAGGGGTATTCATAATGATGGCGTTTGGATTTAATTAGTAGGATATTACAGACTATCAGATTGAGACAAGTGACAAGAGGAAGAGAGGGGTTAAAACAACAATCATAACCTATATGTCCTTAATTATACTTTAAAAGAATTTATGTTCTATGTATTTGCCAGCAAACAATATATTTACACAATTGGAAGGCTAGAAGGGACAAAAAAAGATCTCAACACACAATCACAATCTTTTGAGTGCACACAAAGGTAAACCCCTACAATAGCTTGCAAATCACACTGAAGAGATAAACTGCATTAGGCAAATTCCGTGGGACGAGCTTGACCTTGAAGGCAGTTGTATGTAAGTGGTTTCGAACTTGAAACCTCCGTTATAAAAGTCGCAAGCCAAACCATCTTAGCAAGGAGTTTCAAACTAAAGACCTCTATTATGGAAGGGTAAAAAAGAAGGATGTTATTATTTCTTCAACAAATTCAGATCTGTAGTGGACTCTGAGTAGGAAGTTACCATTACTCACGAGGCCTCTAACTCCCTTCCAACCATTCACGATTGTGAGAAAGGCTATTTAAATTTTGAAAATTAAAGGACTAAACTCACTTTAACGCCATGAATGATGGTCTGAACAACTTCCGGCACCATTCTTCGCGACTCGTCCATGGTTTTACCTTGTGATAAGCCATAAATGAATTCGTTTCCTCCAATTTCTCCAACTAAGAAAAGTGACTTGTTCATTTTTTCTGGGCAATCTAAGAAGAAAATAATTAATTGGATATATAGTTAGTGCAATTTGCAGAAGCAAATAATCATATTTAGCAAATTAATGAATTACCAGGGGAGCAGGTGATCTGGAAATGAGAAGACATCCAATCAAGTTGCACACTCAATGAACTATTTGTAAGTGCTATATTAACAATGTTGTTCCCTGCGAGGGATTTGGCAGATAAAGCAGTACACCCAGCTACTGCAAAATTCACACCATGTCTAAAATCTGCATTTTCATCCTTGTATGGATTTAGCAGAGGAAGACCAGATTCCACAGCTGTACGTTTTGATAGAGAAATTAATCCTAAAAATCATCAAACACAAATCTATAGTAATTGGGGGTTCAATTCAAACCTATGAAATCAATGATGAGCATGCCATTAGAACAACGCCCAGTTGCATTCTGGTAAAAATCCATTCCATAAGGAAGTGCTCCACATGACAAATTAGCTCCACAAAGGGTCTCTCTGATGCAATTGCCGGTATCGGAAAGTGAATCACCAAATTGATATATTTTATCAAATCTGCAATTCATCAATAGTGGATTTTGAAGCTTTAATACTTGTTGAGCATCGCCGACTTTCACCATTAAAATGAGCAAAGAAAGAAGCAAGGTTATTGTTGCTGCCATTTCAATTTGCCAGACAAAACTATTGTGCTTATACACACTATTCTACATATATTCAGTAGCAGTATTATTTTTCCTGCAGGAAGTACAAGAGCCACGAGAAATTAATTAATTAACATTGATTCTCCGTGTTATCTAAATGCCAGCTAGCCCAGATTTACTACTTTTTAAAAGAAAAAGGGTCAAATATACCCCCTTGCTATTTAAAATAATTTGATTCAATTATACCATTGGAGGAACGTGCAACTGATTTCCACGGATTTATAATAAGTTTAAGGGCCCGTTTGGCCATGCGATATGGTATCATGATATGGAATCATGACATGAAATTGAAGGTTTGTTTGGACATGCGATATGGAATTTTTGTGTGGTATATTTTCTCATAAACATAAAAATCTCATAAGTTGTAAAACTATTAAAATAGCCCCAATTGTTTATTCAATCTTATCAAATAAACAAAAATTATAAAATCGCATAATAAATTATTACAAAGTTATTTGTTCTTCACTTAAGTAATTGTTTCATCTAACTTTAATTTAATTTAAAAAAATTGAACATAAATTGTACTTGATATGCTCATATCTCTCAACTACTCTTGCAAATAACCTATAAAGTAGAAAAAAAACATATATTAGTGAGTAAATATTAACTTAGAAGTTAAATACACTAAGATAAAAATTAACAAACATCACTGACTTCTAACTATTTACAAGAAAAATCAATAGTTAAATATTATTGAATAACGAAATTTTAAAAAGTTACCACAAGTTTGAGTCAAAAAACACTTCTAATAAAATTTAATCAAAAAAATTATAACTAGTCCACTTGACTAAATATTAATAACTAATTGATCAAATTTTCCCAAGTCCTCAATCAATTGGACTTGATATTCTTCAGTCATGTGAACGAACATTTTGAAATACTAAGATTAAGAAAGTGCGGCACCGCCAATGAAAATTGTCTTTTATCAATATTATGCTTAGTCATAAGATTAAGACGTTTTTTTTATTATGAAAAATCAAAAAAGTATTACTCCCTTCGTTCTTATTTATATTCATCAAATTTAAAGTAATAATAAATTTTAAAAAGTAATGATGTGATTATAAATTTTATTTACATATGAAACAAATGGTTAGTAGATATAAATGTGGGGTTGTTTTTAACAAAATATAAACTCATGGATCAATTATTGTATTAAAATATCTCAAATCATGATATGGAATCACATGATGATTCTATATCATGGTTTTTGGAGAATATGGTATCACCTCTCATGATATGGAATCATGAGATGGAATCAGCGTAAAATAACATGTCCAAACGCTGATTCCATCTCACGACACCATATCGTGATATGGTATCGCATGGCCAAACGCCTACTAAATCATCTGCGATCTTTTAAATTTTTTCATATAATTCAATTAGACACTTGAACTTAAACTTGTATCTATTAAATTGTGTTGCTTATTAAATGAAACAGATATATAATTATGCTTAAGAGTTTGACTTATTAGATATTGACTTTTAAATATACTAATCTGCTAATCAATCAATAAGCCATCGGTTGGTTAGATACCGAATTAGTAATTAACAGGTGACTATCGAACGATGTATTGGCCCAATCATTTTATACTCTCTTCTTTTACTCACTCACCAATATATTAATCTCTCATTAAATAAAATAATTTTTCCATCCCTACTTAAATAATTGGTAATTTTGTAAATATAAATCACAATGAAAAATATATGAAAGTCTAAATATTAATGGTACATGCATTTATTTATGAAATATACTTACGATAATAATGTAACTATGATAATTTTTAACGATTAATAATTTATTCAGAAAATTGAATGATCTCCTCTCGCACCGATAAATTGTTAACTATGAATTTTGTTGTTGTTTTTACATGTTTGTGTGTAAGAAATTTATGAAAAAATAATAATTTGGAAGAATTCATATAGACTAATATCAAAGAAACATTTTATTTTATTGATAAGAAAAGAGATTTTTTCTTGGGGGGGGGGGGGGGGGGGTGAAAAAAATAACAACCTCGGG